TTGTATTGTACAGTAACAGCTATTTGAATTTTTTTTTAAAAATGTCATTAATTGTCAATTGAAACTAGATTTTTTGAAAAGAAAATTTGAAAACATCAATCAATCATTGTTAGATCACCATTAGAAACCTGGAAGCACTGAAAGACAGCCGTTTCGTCCTGGTATGAGACTCATCAGTGGCAGTGCGCATCCACGACTCCTGCTCCTCGCAAGATTCGAACCCGAGACCTTCTGTATTGTGCGCGAACGCCTAACGATTGGACCACTGGGCCGGCATCCAACAGTGTTAATGTCTAACTCTGATTGATCTAGGGATTTTGCGCAACCTCACCCATTTGTCTTTGGTAGTTACTGCCTACACCCAACAGGGTTGAACTCCATTGGTCACGTCTTCTCAACTAGAACTCCGAGAATTTCCTCACGAAGCTAGTCACTAGTGAGCACTGTTACGATATTTTGGGGCAGAGTTTTGGAGGTTTGTGTTTTTACACATTTGAAATCATCAATCAATCATTGTTAGACCACCATTAGAAACCTGGAAGCCCTGAGTCCCATACCAGGACGAAACGGCCGTCTTTCAGTGCTTCCAGGTTTCTAATGGTGATCTAAAAATGATTGATTGATGAAATCAAATGTGTAAAAACACAAACCTCCAAAACTCTGCCCCAAAAAAGAAAATTTACCTGAACATATTTTTTTTACTGATTGTCATAATTTGATTAAGCGTGAGATATTATTATAGGTAAGTAGGTCTTTATTTAGACTCACTAAAGTTTACTAGATGTTACTTAACAAAGTAATTACGAGCTTACATAATATATGATGCTGCTGCTGCTGATGCTGATCAGCGGTTATTCTAATATTATATGGTGTGTTTTTTTTGTTGTTGTTGGTGAAAATCAACATCCAATTCATCAGTCCATACTGTTTTGCACTTGTGACCAAATTCAAGAAAATTAATCAGTATTCTTCATATTAGCAAATATTAGAAAATCTCGTTTGACCAATCAAAAAGCACTAATTAATTACAGTCAACTTGTGCTTTTTTTTAATGTGTTATTCAAATAACAAAAAATCAATCAACTAAATCACAAGCATGTGGATCGTGTGTGTGTATGTGTGTCTGTTTGTGTGTGAGTGCAGTCTGTTTAAATGACATATACGTGTGTGTCCACACTCATTTATGTATACTCAATTTAGTGTCTATTTGTTTGTGGTTTAGTTTTTTTTTTCTTCAAACAATAGGATCAGTCACAAGGTCATTCAGAATAAGCCGTTATCATTATTATTATTATTATCATTATTTGTGTTTCGATCATTTAAGAAATGTGTGATTTTCTGCTGTGCGCTGACAGTATACAAATAATGCTGTACTGCAATATAGAATAATCGAAATAGAGCTTAACAAACCGTTTGAAGTCAGAACTTGCCATCTATAGAAGAATATGATCTATTCTCAGTCAGTCAGTCAGATGCGACGTACAATTTCGTACGTAAGTACATCAGTTCATGTTGCCAAACCTTATCAGCACAGAGATATAATTGTCAATTCAAATCCAATAGTAGAAGAGGTAGTAAAGGTATTAGGAGTAATCGGAGAGGTTAAGATTAGAAGATATTCAAGAAATATGATTCAGTGAGAAAAGTTTAGAAAGTCAAAACTAGAGGGGTTGAAGAATTCAGATATATTCTACAGATAAGATATGATTAGACTGTTTTTTGTAAAAAAAATTGACAGGTTTTTGTTTACTATCCGATCTTGACGTTGATTGAATTAAAAACGGTAATATTTATAATCTTGTAAGCTATGATCTGAGTGGTTTAACATCACATTTGAGTAAATACAATATGTAGATGTATCAATAAAAGTTTCAAACTCATTGACAATCATCATCAAACCTTTTCATGATTATTCATGTGTTTATTGGTAAAAGTCAGTGAATTATAACGAGTAATTCAAATATCACTATAGAAAAATGATGAACATCAATGTGAAATATGTTTTTTTTTCATTCGAAAACAGTGTTTAAACTTCAATTCAAAAAGTATCTCTTAAAGCTTAAGTTTAGATAATTACGATATAAAGTTGATATTAACTCTTAGTAATTTTTTGAAAATGTTCATTTTTAGTCACATTTAGACCATAAATTATCTTGGGGCAGAGTTTTGGAGGTTTGCGTTTTTACACATTTGAAATCATCAATCAATCATTGTTAGACCACCAACATCAGAAACCTGGAAGCACTGTAAGACGGCCGTTTCGTCCTGGTATGGGACTCATCAGTGGCAGTGCGCATCCACGACTCCTGCTTCTCGCATGATTCGAACCCGGGACCTTTGGCATTGTAGGCGAACGCCTTACCATCGGACCACTGGGTCGGCATCCAACGGTGTTAATGTCTAACTCTGATTATTATTTTATCTATTTTAAAATTATTCTATTGGATTGATGCCGAACTCTGATAGTGATACAAATGTTTCCTATACTCATTTCAAACTTCCCCAATTGAATGAGGAAATAAAGAATGAATAGGAAGCTTTAGTGATTAATCTAAAATAGAAACATGTACACAAACGAATGCATATTATATAATTTAAACTGTTAATATCAAGATTGCCTATACACTGTGCTAACGAGTACTAATTTGAACGAACCTAAGGATCAAGATTTCTTTCTCACTAAATATAGTTTATGTGAATTCAAATTACTTAGACTAGTTGATATATTGGAATTCTATCGATCGAATGTGATTAGGACTTTATATTGATTAAAGTTTACATAAGTACATCAACTCAACATAAAGGAAAAAAAATTTTGAAATCATGAAAACCAAACTAATGAAAGCATTGATAACATTAGTGGAAATATTGGTAGGACTAAGTATTCAAAGTTATTGAATAATCAGATGTGTAAAACTAAGATGAATATTAGAATCGAACTTAACAGCATCACCGTTGATCGAATATATATATATATATATATATATATATATATATATAGTCTTTCTGGTTTCAATTCTTTGGTTTGAATTCGGTACCTTTCCAAATATATAGTTACTAGGTTGACTTTCAGTTCTTTTTTTCAAACTTACTATATATTTTTTGATTGAAATATATACAGTTAGCTCTATATGGACTTTCCATCAGATAGTTGTTACAAACGATTAGGACAGTGGCTTCACTATAAGAAGCTTGATAAACTAAAAATGTAATGTTCTGACCTAATTCAATATGTCTACTCCTATTTCTTCCTCTATTTTATACTTCTTCATAAAAATTACTGTACGACAACAGAAACCAATAAACAAAGCTGTCTTTAAAGCCATAAACTTTTAAAATCCACCCATTGACATGTCAATATTTCAAGCAATTTGATTGGTTGAATGCAGTAGCTAATAAACTCGATAGCCATTGGTTCAAATTTGGATCGATAAACGTTAAGCTTCATGATAACAACATAAACATAAATGGTGTTAGCACTAGAAAAAAAAGTATTTGGAACGATTACAGCTTCCATAAAATAAGCTTAGACTAAAAAAAATTATAATCAAGGATAAGTAAGTTCTGGGTGAGTGTACTTCTACTAAATTCCTTATAATATTGACCATAACAAGCAAACTATTGAGGTGGTTCATAGCCTGAAACCAAATATTTTCTCTCAAAATTCCACGGTAAAAGTAAAACAGATTTCAAAACTGAAAGTTCTTGAGGTTGTAAATACCTCATGTGTGATTAATAAGATGGTATTAAGACGTTGTAGTACAAACAGTTGGTTAAATAAGAAAATCACTTATTTTCTGTGAAAACCGGAAAAGAAAGGCATAAAATCATGAAGAAATTTTCTGTAGATGAACTCGTATTTTTAATTTGAGGTAGGTTTAAAAAATTCAAACGATAATGGAATTCAAACACAAACAGAAAGTAAAGTTTTTGGAACATTTTTTCATCAATATATTCATGTTTCTAAAATTAGTAACACAGGGTTTTATAGATTATGTCTTATTTGGCAGATATAAAATTGCTTAATCTTATTGACTGCGACACTGTAGCTGGAGCACCAAGAACAAAAATATAGATTCGAGTATAAGTTTACGAACATAGGGACAATCCTAAGCAATTAAAAAACCACTAACTGCTTTCATCAATAAAAGTGATTACTGATATTATTTATTCATCTGAAGTGATAATAAATTTTAGGACTGAAGAGATTGGTGAAGGCGACAACTAGGATAAAACTGAATACTGATTATGTCTCTACTTAGACAAATTTTAGTTTGATATTCCCTGTATTTTTTATTTTCTTACTTGGCTAAACAGTTATTCTTTTTAAATTCATCAGTACAGATTAACATAGTTCTTTGAGAGCGCATCAATCAACGTACCTACGTACCAAGTTCTACGTTGTAACTGACGTATTGATATCAATAACAAAAACATATTAGATTGTACTACAGACACGTATCGGATTCCAGATACCATTATGCTGATCATTTTAATCACATGATTCACATAATCAGTTATAATAATAGTGTGTGTGTGTGACCTTAATTGCAACAAGCAATCCAATATACAGAGTGAAGCTACTTATTTCATACTCCTGTGTATCTTCATGATAAGTTACTGGCTCACAGATACTCTAGCAATGAAGCCATTCCGCTTGGAACACCAACCCAATGTTTCGGACCATAGGAAGGCCCAAGGACCGATAAGTGTTAATTCTTAGCCATTATTACTTGATTGGACTACATTAGGTATTATTCGCATAGCGATTGGTTAATTTTTAAAACTATAAGATTTAGACCAATCAGGTTAAGCCAATCAGATGTTAGTTACATTGTCTGAGCCTTCAGACAATTTAGATCGATCTGCCAACACAGGTAAAGCAGTTCAAGGTCATTGCCTCTTGATTGGTCACTTTAAAGAGCCAATTGAATAATTGACCATAGTTCAATGAACCTAGTCTCAGTTGTCGTTCGTAGAGATAGTGGTAGTTAGCTATCCGGTTGATCTGTTTTCTATTAAATTGAATTGATGCTTGTAAGGAATTACTTGATGGACTAGTGTTTAATTTTCAAAACCACTTTGACTATTTGCGACAATTTATTATGCTTTCATCCTTCTGTGTACAGAGCCTTCTAATACGTAAGTTTCAGCTTACTAAGATTTCTTCATTTTTTATTTATTAGTTTGAGCGTTATTCTAATAACTACCTGAGTTTCTATTGTTATAATTTATGGTGTTCTGTGACTAGTCAGATCGATATTTGAGATTTAGCTGACCTTAGGATTGAAACTGACGTAACATGTTTATTGTATTTCCGAAAATCTTTCATGCTAAAGTAAAATATATTCATATTAGTACCAGTCTATTTAAACGTGTATTTTGTGTATGAAATGAATGAATGTCTTTCATAGTGTTTAGCTTTCGACACTACACTGAATATAATTAAGGATTGAGTTAGGCAGTCCAACTGGTAAACTGAGGTCAGTTATCTAGTTACTATCCACCAGCTGCCTCGGTCCTTTAGTATTTCTTTTTACTCATTTATAACGTAGTCTCTCGTACAATGATGTTCAATCTGTTGTGAAATTCTTTACGATGTTGAATTTAAAAATAGAATATTTAACTATTGGTCGAATAAACGGTATATTTTCCACATACTGGATACTTGTTTCAAATCCATTATCGTTGTTAGGCTATGTATAAAGTAAGTAAAGGCTCGTAAGGAATGAAAATACGGAAATTCTCCGTATCCATTATATAACTTTCGCACAATCCTCATTTTCAAAACATCTCATGGTTTGTTTTTTGGTAACTCATATGTTTCGTGGTTTTTTTTTCAATCACACGAGGGCTGTAATGGTAGAATTAGCTTACACAAAGAAGTTTAAAATATTGAATAAAGTTCTTGTTTGTTGATTTTAAGGTACTACTAATCGCTTTTTATGTTTCATCTTTATTTTTCTAAAATTTAGTTGCATAAAAAAAATGCCAAATCCCCGGGAGTTTATCGGAACTAGCTCAGGTTCAAGAAGAGGACGTCGTTCATATCCAAAGGCTGAGGCTTTAAATAAGGGATTAAACTGCGAACCTATAATTTTTCATCGTGAATATACTAAACGAATTTTACCTCAGTCTTCAAGAGGTAAACCTAGAGGCAAAGCTGGTCGCCCACGAAAATATAAAGTGGAGATTTCAAAGACTCACCAAGATTCTCCACCTATTTCTGAACCTTTGGATTCATTAACCCGTTCCCCTAGTCTTTCATCAGATAAACCGCCATATAAACGTCAACGCAGATTGTCAAAAGATGATCCTAATTCTATTCCTCGCCTTACTAGTCAGAAATCTGATAGATCTATTATTAGCCTCAAATCGGGTATGAATAAACATTTTTTAAAAAATCTATTAACTGATAAATTAACTTGATTTTAATAATTCATTCAAAACCCAATGTTAACTTTAATTTAAGTAATTTAACCAACCCTTTGGCTAACAAACATCAACGATTCTACCACAGTACAATAAAATAGTTAATCTGGTTAACCCATTCATTATCTGTTTACATGTGGGAGTATTGATTTTTTCAGTTTACAGCTTAAATAATCTATTCGATTAGTTTGTTTAAAAATTTTGGTTGATTATGGTACTTTATAAAAGATATTAAATTAATCTGAAAAAAAAAACTTTCATCTCTACGAGTTAAGTAATCTTCTAAGTTAGAGGTTACACAAAAAATCACAAAGAAGAAAGGTTGCCCAGTAAGTTGTTGTCTTGGATGAAAGTGAACCATGCATATGATAACTCCAACTTCTTTCATTTAACAAAGTGATACAGGAATAATAATAATGAATTTAATCTTAACATTTCAATTTTTCCCTTAATTTGCTTTTTCTCACTAACTTATTTAGCAGTATCTTATCATATTAACTTATTCATTTTAAATTGAAATTTAGATGAATCTCTTTATAAACTATCAACATCTCAGTCTTCCGAACGATCAATTGATGATGATCCATGCGTTAATAAAGTTAAAAATTTTATTTGTCATGAATGTGGTATGCAGTTTAAAACTAAGGGGAGATTTGACAAACACATACCTTGTCGTGTTCAACGAAATTCTGAGTATAAACAAAAACCTCATTTAAGAAGAGGAAGAAAATCATTGAATTCAAAGTAAGCTTATTGTTGTTGTAATTTTTAGATGTAGTGTTTACTTTGAATTGGATTACATTAGAATAAATATTGTCATGACTAGTCAGTTGTCAATTGACAAATACATGATGATTGTATGTTAATCACATAATCACATCAATGGATGCGAATCGTTGGAGCTTTAGTAGTAATACATGCTTTATTTTTGTGGACTTTGAACTTTCAGTAGAAATATTCAAGTATTCTGTTTTTAACTACCTTATTTTGGGGCACAGTTTTGGAGGTTTGCGTTTTTACACATTTGAAATCATCAATCAATCAATCATTGTTAGACCACCATTAGAAACCTGGAAGCACTGAAACACGGCCGTTTCGTCCTGGTATGGGACTCATCAGTGGCAGTGCGCACCCACGACTCCTGCTCCTCGCAGGATTCGAACCCGGGACCTTTGGCATTGTAGGCGGACGCCTTACCATCGGACCACTTCCTTATTGCTTTGTTATTACTGTGTCTGGATTTAATAGCTACACTTACTTGAACTTTGAGTGTTCTTTGTCATAAAGCAACCATTATGAATTGATTAATAATGTTAATTTTCAAGTTAATCCTTTGAGCATCAAACATTGTGTTGACTAAATTATTCGTCTGTATTAAAATGACGATGTCTGAATTCTAGTTTAAGTGACTTGACAAAATGCAAAATTAGCTTTCATTTATATTATAGGTTTGATTTTTAAATGATTAGAGATTTTATCAGAAGTAACTCATATTGTGAATGATTTCGCTTTCTTACTTACCTTTTAATTTCTCAAAACTATCTAGATCTGTGCTTTTTATTTGTATTTTAAGTATACAATTGAAATAAATTCATTAACATGAACTGTAAACTGAAATAATCTTATACTTTCATATCGTTAGTACGTCAAACTAGTTTATTCACACATTTTTGAATCTTAACAGATTAGTGAAAATGTACTCATTAAGCCAAAAAAAAAACAATGTATTCGATGACTTGTGATCATGAACTTGTGATCACATGATTTCAAATAATTAATTATACAAAGAAGGCAATTCACAGAAAAGACAAAGTATTTAGTTTGAAGAAGATATTGTGAATATTTCGTGCTGAAATTACGAAATACTTTGTAGATGTAGTTTAATTTTTATTGGCCAATATATTGTTCACATTCGGAACATATTAAATTTTTTTAAAGTAAATAGTTTATTTTACTTAGACCCTACTCACAGTAAGTAAGTAAGTAAGTAAGTAAAACAACCGCTGGACGTCTCCTTCGTCCTAGCACAGGATTCCCTAACAGTTCACATCCTCGATCTCGCAACCGACAATCAGACCCAGGACCCCTTATGTCTTGCGTATGTACGCTTGAATTCCATCAACCTGCCATATTCTTTGTTGTGTAACTTTAGTCGGTTCGTGACTCTAATCAAATTCAGCGATCTTCACAAGTTCGTATTGATTATATATCATGATGTAATATTTTATATAATCATGCAGAATTATATTTTTCAATTCAGTTAGTTTTGTCACTGCACAAGTTCACTTGATCATTAAAATTTATAGCCGTTATTCATGTAGTATACTACTTCCATAGACTACTTACTATTTTGATTACTATCTTGATCACAATCAATCATCTTCAGTGTTCGCGTACTTATATTTATTTCTTTTACTCAAAAATTCATTTAGCGATATGAATCTATTTATTTGCTTTATTCACTCATACAGTAAATACTTTATTATCAGTAATTTTAATTTGTTTTTTTTTAATTGCAAGTTGCTATGATCATCTAATCAGTTTGTTCATATTCTTATTTTTTAAAATGAAATATGTGTTGTTTTGTGATTGGCTATAAAAAAAAACTGGTTGTTATTTGATTGGTTAATAAAACTGCCTATTGTTTGTTTGGTCAATCTTATAATATGTAGACTTGAAATTCAATCAAGGGAACAATTGTTTTTTTACATAGTTTACTTAATTTTTACTATCAAATGTATATTCTTTGGTTGTAATTTTCTCAATCGAAAGTCAATAACAACAGTCCATTATTACAATAATGAGAAAATATAGGCGGTTTGATACAATAAGTCTTTCCATCTCAGTTTATGACAGTATGAACTATAAACAATGCTGATTTTCAAGGATTCTAGTTTATTTCGTATATATCATTGTAATAACCCTCCTAAGAACAAATTGTGTTCATATTCTTTTAAAAGATGGTTATATTATTAGAAATTTGATCAAGTTAGACATTAACACCGTTGGATACCGGCTCAGTGGTCTAACGGTTAGGGCGTTCGTGCACAATACCGAAGGTCCTGGGTTCGAATCCTGCGGGTTGCAGGAGTCGTGGATGCGCACTGCTGAGGAGTCCCATACCAGGACGAAACGGTCGTCATTCAGTGCTTCCAGGTTTCTAATGGTGGTCTAACATTGATCGATTCATGGTTTCAAAAAATGTGTAATTATTAGAAATGTTTTGTTACAATTGTGTTCATATTTCATTAGTAGTAATGTATTGGATGTAGTTGATTTCCAATTTATTCTCACTACTTGGTTATGAGTATCATTTATACTAAATTATTTTAATACTTGTGATTGTTTTAGGTCATTGAATAACATTACACTTCCTTCTTGTACAATTCAACGTGATAGTAGTGACAATGGTGAGTGAAATAGATTTTTTTTCTTAAGAAGAGTTTTTGTTGTTTTATTGTTCTGGTTTTTTCTCTCACTATCGATTTTTGTATTTAATATACAGACAATAGCTCATGATATGGACAGCTCACTTACTATCGATTTTCGTATTTAATATACAGACATTAGCTCATGATATGGGCAGCTCACTTACTATCAATTTTTGTATTTAATATACAGACAATAGCTCATGATATGGACAGTGCAATGTTAACATAGGCAGATATGTTATTGAATAATGTAAAGATGCGTGGATTAATAAAAGATAAATATCTACACTATATACCACCATTCTTATGTTCTATCCATTGGGCAACAGATTGTAGGTGTTTTTTTTTTAAGGGCAATGTTAAGGTTTGAAACGGTAAGCTAGCTTATGGTGTAACAATTTTTCAATGGTTGAATATTTATTTAGAGAAGTGTAGATTTCTCATGTTAGCTAATTGAAATGATAAAAGTCTGTGCTTGGAAATATCAGTCCACATTGCACACGATCCTACAGAGTGTGATGCCTGTTGACGTAATATGTATTCTCTATACTCTGAATATTTGTAAAACTATCTATTGATCTTCATTAGTTAGGGTTATTATCCATCCATCTGTCGTAAAGTACTAGCAATTTTTTATTGACAAGTTGATTTATTTTGTACTACTGAGTAAAATTTTTTAATCGAAAGACCATATTAAAACCGATTTTTAACATTTTGTTTTTGAGGATAGCAATTGAGGAGATAAGTTACCTCATGCTTAATTGATGACTAAATATACACGTTAAAGAATCAGGCAGACTTGTGCTAGTTTTCACTTTTATCATGCATGTATCATTATCATGATGTTAAATTCGCATCGTTTGCATTAGCGGTGCAGTGAGATAAGGGAATGTGAGTAGATTTAGTTGTGAAGAGGACAGAGGTATATTTGAGTGTAGGAAGGATTTGATTTCGACCAATTCGGTCTCTCTTGCTGTTATGGGTATGAGGGCGGTTGTCAATTCCCGGCTGCTCACACCGTGGAAGGTTGTTTCTTGAGGGATCTGAAAAGGAAGATAGATTAGTGTTGGTCTTCGAGACCTGGGAGCATGACCACAGAGCCCAGGGAACAATTGCTTGAGGCCAGTCACGCACGGCCTTTTTATTAAAAGTTTTTTGAATATTAGCTCCGCTCTTGAAAGCCCTTATTGGGCACCCTTTCAGACGGAGACGGAAATCCGTGAGGTAAGGTAAGGTATGACATTTCTAGTGTCGACATTTTCTAATCATAACCCTTCCTCGTGAGAAGGCAGCATTGCAGCAGATGCTGGTTGTCCGAGGGAAACACCTTACTGCTGTCACACCCCCTTCAGTAGTCAGCAGTACGACTTCGCCCTCAGACGTTGAGTAGCTGCTTTTCGTCTCATCGTTCTCCAATCGACCTGCCTTGCATGGTAGAACCTTCAGAAACATATGTTGCAGCAAATATATCTCGGTTGGGTCATCACGATAGTCAAGCTCGACCACCACGTCAAGGTAGCGGCTACGGTCGGGTGTTACATGGCCAGTGAGGGTAGAAGATATTCTTAGGGTACTGGTTTGCGATCATAGGTGTCTTCGAAACATTGCTCGTATATCCTGGGACACCCGAGTGAGCAACGCTCTTATTAGGAAACGAGTGCTAGCTGAGGGTGGCGGATCAATAGATGAAGTAATCAAACTTCATCATTTGAGGTGGTTGGGACATGTGATGCATATGCCTAACCACCGACTGCCTCGACTAGCTTTGTTTTGTAGTGTAGGAATAGGTTGGAAGAAAGTTAGGGGCGGCCAGACCAAAACATGGCATAAATCCATGAAGTCATTGACGAGTGGACTGAGTCATGTCGGTAGTTGTTGACTACCTGATTGGGGTCCGCGAGATGATAATAATCGATGGTTAGAAACCCTGAACGACATGGCTCAAAACCGTTTGTAATGGCGCCGGTTCATTTATTGTTTGTGTTCTCTCATTTCCTTATCTTCTGGATTCTTCAACACCTCTAGTTTTGACTTTCTAAACTTCTCTCACTGAATCATACTTCTTGAATAATATCTTCTAGTCCTAACCTCTCCGAATACTCCTAATACCTTTACTACCTCTTCTACTATTGGATTTGAATTGACAATTATATCTCTGTGCTGATGTAGTATGGCAACATGAACTGATGTACTTACGTACAAAGTTCTACGTTGCATTTGACTGACTGACTGACTGATGATGTTGAATTTCTTTATTTTTTTTTAAACTATGACCTATTGTATCAGAATGAAAGTTGCATTTTTCAAGTGCATTCAAGTGTATGCTATACATTGTCAATGATCATATTGTTAATGAATATCTTTTCGCAAAAATTATCAACAAAAGAATTTTTATCCTATAAGCTGTGTACTTACTGAAGAAAATGCATTGAGATCCATCAGCTTGTTGACGTCGTAGTTAGTAGGTTGTTGTAACATGTGTCACAAAAAATAATTAATATGATTTATTTCAGTTGTTTAGATAGAGTTTTTTGATACATCAAAAGTAATCAAGGTAGTCGTCAGTCGTGTTGTGTAAAATTTCTTCGCTAGACAAAGATTATTTTTTTATGTATTATAATTTAATCTTTCCAATTTTAGATGTGATTAATATATCTATATATATATATATATATATATATATATATATATATATATATATATATATATATATATAGTTTGTATTCATACAATCATGTGTTTGTCTGTTTGCAACTACTGATACACATGCATGCATGAATGAATACACACACTGAATATTTTACCTGTTCTTCACGTGGTTTAATCTAGATACTAATATTCACTATGTCAGTAGTGTTTTGTGTTGTTGTGATTGTCATTTAATTATCAATGAAGTGAAAAATACATTTTTTAAAACTAGTCTTAACTTTTCTTCAGCATCAAAAAAGAATGTCCTATATGAGAAATTTTGTTTTTCTCTCTCTCTCTCTCTCTCGTTTGTTTCTGTTTCATCTAAATTAAGTCGTGTATACCATAGATAACATTCATTTTTTTTCTGAAAGCTTTTCCAGTGTTCTCTGACATTCTTTAAATCAATTTCTCAATTTTCAGTTTACAACGTTATGTGTTGTCATCCAATGATTGGATGGTGATAATTTTATGTATTACGGGGTTGTGAAGATTGTTAAGTTACACATTTTTGAAACCATGAATCGATCAGTGTTAGACTACCATTAGAAACCTGGAAACACTGGACGGCCGTTTCGTCCTGGTATGGGACTCTTTAGCTGCTCAGTGGTCTAACGGTTGGGGCGTTCGCGCACGATGCCGAAGGTCTTGGGTTCGAATCCTGCGGGGTGCAGGGTTTGTGGATGCGCACTGCTGAGGAGTCCAATACCAGGACGAAACGGCCGTCCAGTGCTTCCAGGTTTCTAATGGTGGTCTAACACTGATCGATTCATGGTTTCAAAAATGTATAATTTCATGTGTATACTTAAAATTTACTTTACGGTTGGACAAGTGATTATTTTAAATAATGTTTTCCTATTCAAGTCAAGCATGTTGATCGTTAACGTCGGTTATATTTCTTAGCGTTATACCATCATGTCAACTTAACAAGAAAGTTTTGACATTTAAAAAAAATATTTTAGCCAGGAATCAAAGTTTAGAAAGAGTGCTACTACTACTACTACTTACATAGGTCACCGACCAACGTTCTCCAACCTATTGACCGGAGTCTTTCCGTTCTATCTAATTGGTGTCTATGTTTCTCATTTCTATCTTCAATACTCGGCGCAATGTGTTCTCTGGTCTTGCTTTTATCCTTTGGCCTTTAGGATTCTAAATGAGGAGCCTGTCTTGTGATACAGTCGAGGGCGTTCCTCGATGTATGTTCTATTCACCTCCAGTGTTTCTTCCTGGTTTGCTCTCTCCCACGCACTAGTGGGTACTATTACAGGAACATAGAAAACAATCGACCTAATATATAGGTTACTCTGTTAAGGCTCATAAATGCAATCTTGTAAATCTATCATTTTGTGCTCATTCCTTTTTGCATATACATATGTAGTTACTTGTAGACATTATAGACATGAGGTTTCTTACTTGTCTGTTAAGAACCCTGTTTGGTTAACTAAGTTCTCTTCATACTTCCTAACATGATATGTCAGCAGTATGTTTTTTTTTTCGTGCGTTAAACCTATCTTTTCCTGAAGCACTTGCTTACCTAATGGCAGTAAATAGAAAGGCTTACAGACTGGTAGGTTTCTTTTGAATTACCTCACTAAGATAATTAATGATTCCGTTAGTTTTTTGATTTTCGTTTGGAGTTGTCCCTGTCACAGTTTTTTAAACCAAGAATACATTTGTATGTGGCTTGCCTCACAATTATATTTATTGAGTTGGATAAGATAGTTTGAGAAAGTAAAAAAAATCTAATCAACGAATCGAAATCATGAAACTCGGTCAACATAAAAGATATGGAAAAGTATAAAGAATGAATATACTGTGTTACTACTACTACTACAATCAATAATGCATCATGTTATGTCAAATGTTCATTCATAGTTTATGATTATATTGTGAACTCCACGCATGAAGTTCGCACTCGTTGACACTATCCAAACCTATAGTTAATAACTTAATAAACTCGTATCATGTTACCTGGTCATTTCTTAGCATTTTTCAATCTATCCCTATGCTTACTTACTTACGCCTGTTACCCCCAATGGAGCATAGACCGCCGATCAGTTTTCTTCAACCAACTCTGTTCTGGGCTTCTCTTTCCAGTTCTTTCCAGTTTTTGTTCATTCTTCTCATACCTTTCTTTATTTCTCGGCGTCATCTGCTCTTTGGCCTTCCTCTTTTCCTTCGACTGTCAGGGTTAAATGTGAGGGCTTGTCTTGTGATGCAGTTAGGTGCTTTTCGTAGTGTGTGTCCTATCCACTAACTCCACCACTTCTTCCTGATTTCCTCCTCCACTGGAATCTG